AAATAAATACTTCACAACAATATTACAGACAACTTGCAGCAGTTTCTGTTTCCTGCTGAATATTGATACTAATTGAGAAATTCCCTGATAGTGACCAGACAATATTCATCAACCCAATTACTGAAGGGCACTGTGCATCGTTTCAAAAATTAAAAGAAAATGTTTAAGAGCTATCAAAGTGTAACACAAATTTAAACAATTACATTTTGAATACTGTTACCTTTACAGCTGATAAATTCATTTCGGGAATTTCGGCGCTTAAAATGGTAACTATTTCTTGATATTCTCTCTTCTTTATATTTCTATCTCGGTACGATGTCAGCTTAGAGTTCCACAAACTCTCTCTTGTCTTAAGGGCATCGAGAAGTAAAGAAATACTGCTGTCAGTCCAAGAAATCACATGTTTCGTTGTCCTCGCTCCTTGCGTCGTCGCCATGTTGTTTGATAAAATTTGACACATTTGATGTGATGGTCGTCCAGACGGACAAATTTGATTATTGACAAATTTTATACGACAAAAAAAAGCTAACAACCCAGCTTTTGAACAAATTCATTTGTCATAAAAAATTTGTAACAAATTGTTCATTCACACGGACAAAATTTATTTGTCACATATCATTTGTCAAAGAAAATTTCCCCGTGTGAACGGGGCTTTAAAGTTTTATATGCTTTCTTTTGTTATATGAAGTTTGCAGGTATCTTGCGAATAATAGTTTCTACTTTGGAACAAACACTTTAGTTTTGGCACATTTACAGACAAACAAAACAAATAACTTGTTTTATGTTTTCATAATTTGTTTTCTTTACAAAAATGTAAATGTCAAAAAGTTGTGTCTAATTGATGTTAAGTCTCATTTGTGAAAGATTTGTTTGCAAAATTGAGGCAAAAAAGAATTTGTGTTTTGTTTTGGAGCTTCGTAGTTTGTAAAAGTTATCAATTCGATTCTGCCTATTGGCTGTATGTTTAGAATGCGTGGAGGGACTGGGAACTACTGGCATCAAATTTTCGACGAACCATTGTACTAAAACACATCTGAAATGATAACTCCTGTAGAGTGTTTGCACCTACGTCACCACTACGTCACAAAATTTAACTGTCCGCCATTATGGGGGAGTGAAGAGTAGTGCAGTAATGCAATTTATTTTTATTATATCGACCGAGTTTTACTCAATTTATTGCGTCATTGCATGGTTTTAAACCATTCAAACGACAAGTTCTGAGCAAAAGGACCTTCCTTTGCTAAATGCACAAAATAATAAAGAAATACGACAAAGAAACGGAGATTTTGTAATCTGAACGTATGTTAAGTAAAGTGGCGACTTGCGAATGCGAACGATCATTGCCGAGACTTAAGCCTTAACGCACGATGTTCTCGAAAACAATTGTGTTTTAAGCGAAATTTACAATCCGGAATTGTTGCTTCTTTGTGCGGGAAAAGAAGAGGAGGTAATCATAAAATACAAACGAAACGGTTTCGAAATTTGCTAAAACGGTTAGCAAAGTATTTTGTTTTGTTTAGCTCAGTCAAGATGAACGAGAGATAAATGTGTATGATGAATGCAATGATTGATGAAATCTTGCTACAAATTATCACAGCCCAAAGAGCCTGGGCTTAATGTGCTAAGAGCAGTTTGCTTCGCGAGTGAAGTTGGAAAAATAAGAAGTTCTATTGTACTTTTGAGTTGAGAAACTTTTGCTAAATAATATATGGCTCATGCTGACAGAAAGAAAAAGTTCAACACGGTTTTGTTGATGTAGATAAGACAAGAAATTTGTACCAACTCAGCACTCGTAATTACAGTCAAAATTTTTAAATGTTTTTTTTTTTGCTGAATTTTTCAGCTAAATTAGATGACGTTTATTGACGAACTAGGATTCAGTGTACCCATGGCTCAAAAGTTAACGATGTAAACACAGTGAACTATAATAACAACTGGAATGATAACTTCGCGCCTTCTTTGAAGCCAGCATGATGCCAGCTTACACGTAGCTCCAGTCCCTTTCGTAAAAAATATGGTATTTTTATATTTATAAAATTTCAAAAGTATATCTTGCGTTTCCTTTTCAAAATAATATTATATTTAACAATATTAGTGAAACTGGCTGAATTTCAAAAAAAATTGGCCAAAACTTGTTAAAGCAAAAATGTTAAAGCAAAGACAAAAATTACCAAAAGTCGCGATTATTTGCTGCTTTTTCTGCGTTATTGAACGTTTCAGGCATACCTAAACGTTCAATCCACCAAAATATTATAGCTTCATGTTAAATACACGATCTTACCAAGTTTCGTAAAAATTGAGCAATTTGCCAAGTAGAAAAATGTGTTCTTAAGAGCATTTCTAATACCATGAAAATATATACACCTGCAAATATATATACAGCTCAGTGTCACAAAGTATGCAAGATCCTCCCTAAAGGATTCTTGAAAAACTTATTTATCGATTTAAATATGTAAAAATCAAGTGTCTTTTTCAAATACATAACACCCTATTCTTGTGTTGTCCGTGTAAAGCATACAAAGAGAGAAAAGGAAATGAACACATTGCATATAACGGGCCGATAAACTTGGTGTAACGAATTGTTGAAAACAATCGTCCACGATTCTTGCCGATTATGCTTCTCCTCCAAATATCTTGCTGAGTCGTACGCTAATTCTGGTAGATACAATTTTAAAGCACACAATGTGTCAAAAAAACGAAAACAAATAATTTTTCACTGTTTTCAACTGCCAACAAGCCAAAACTAACGTCGGTCGCCAAGAAAACACGCATTATATGAGGGGGGAGTTTGGATTCAAACAATCATGAGAAAAACTATAGGAGTTATCGTTCCAGTTGTTATTATAGTTCACTGTGTAAACATAAACAAAAGCGCGCAATGCATCGTGGTTGACACACATTCTTTAATCGCGAGTTAAACTAAAATCGTTATTGAAAGATTTGGATCATCCGCTCAAAATACGCAATAAATAGATTAAAACTGTTTTGAAATTCAAATTAAATTATATTGAATTTTTAATCGAACAAATTCCTTGTTTTGGAAGAATTTTTTTGGTATGGCTGAGAACAGTGTAACCTTTAGATACGCTACTGGTTCTAATATTAAAGAGGCCAACAAAATTTGTTTGGCCAACATCTTGCAGGCTCATTTTATTGAGTATTACATAAATAAATTTTTCTTACATCAGGGAGGAGACATCACAAAGCCTGTTCATGGATATTGCTTTCCATTGGATAGCTAAGGTTTGAGAAATCTTTTAAATGGGAAGAGTCTATGTCAGTTCTAAAATTTCAAAGCTTTATTTTCGTAAAAACAATATCATTTGATATAGTCATCTTAGTGACCTTACTTGCCCCATCTAACTTGGTACCAGTGGCGTAGCCAGGATTTTCTATCAGGTAGGGGCAATTAAAAGGCAAAGGGGCCACGACTGGTGCTTAAATCAGAGTTGCGCCCAGAGTCGTAAATAGAACGTCAATTGGGGGTGGGGTGGGGTGGTGCATATTCATATATTTTGTTGTGCCCTACAGATTTTTTTGGAAGTGAATTGAATTTCATATGAAATCAGTAGAGCACAACTGAATATATGAATACTCACCCACTCAATTAACGTCCTAGTTACGCCTCTGGTTGCGCCGATTAAATATTATTAAATTTTTTACTGCCCCAAGAAAAAAACGAAAATAACAAAATCTATTTTCGTTATATCATATTATACAACTAAATGAAAATAATGTCAAATAGATGCAAAACAAGGTTGTCGTAAGCCTTAGAGTTTAATAACTCTACATTATTTCCAAGCGCTGCGCTAATTAAGGTTACTCAGATGCGGCGCTTGACGGGGAGAGACGCTAAAAAACTTTTTTGGATTCTGAGTGCGGCGCTAAACAGAAGGCGAGACTTAGGTGGGAGCGGGGCTAAAGCAAGCATTTACTTTATTTTAATTTGATGGCAAGTTTGTCTCTTATTCACCAGAGTAAGACAAGATGTTTTATGATGTACAAAACAAAAATATGTGTAGATTAACAAGCGAACCTCATTGCTTCTCATCCATATTCAACATCGCACTACTTGTGTCAGCCATTTTGAAATTACAAAGTCAATAAATTTTGGGTGATGCAGTTAATTCATGCAAAAAACTTACAAAAATAAATTGATAAAACTTTCATATAATTGAAAATAAAATAAACCACGAATTACTTCTTGGAAATTTATTTCCTACAGAACTGTTTCGTATGGCAGTTGTTTTCAATTATACCGCTCTGTCGTTGCATTGAGAACTCTATCCGTGAGATTTTGTTTGCGATAGTTTCTATCACAAAATCCCATTATAAACTTTTCATATATGTTGATGCAAAATAAAAGTCCCAACGATTTACATTTTAATATCCACAACAATATAATGCATTTGTTTATTGGAGATAACGGTGTGTGAGAAAGTCTGAAAGACTTGATATTAAAGTCAAATTACAACACTATAGATAGAATCGATGAATATCGGGCAACTTGACAATGATTTAATCGTTTATTAAATATAAAAATTGCTTTAACACAATAAATATTAACAAAAAGAGCTATTTTAAACAAAAATTCAAAAGTGCTTCTATATCAATACAACATTCGTAGAGTCGATGAGAATTAATTAGCTTTCAACAATCTGCTTCATTAGGTTGACATTGGAAACGTAGTTTCACGTACTTGAGAGAACTAGATTCACAATTACACCTCGTAGAGTCAGAAAAAGGAGAAGTACGACCTATAATGTAAAATGCGTTGAGCCCAACTACCATACTTTACCAATATTTAACAATTAGTGAATTAGACTGAGTCAAGAATTATTCAGACCGTCGTCAATGCTATCTGCCAAAGTGAGCCTGGAGCTGATAAAATTAAGCGAATAATTCTTGAGAATTATCTTTAGGCTCTTACTCTTACCTGACCACAATTATGTTAGAGTTGTGGGAACGCGGTGTTTTCCGAGTCAAAATACAACTGACCATACTTTAAGTAACATCATATTGAAACATTACATTGATTACACGCACTTTAACCTTTTTATAAAATGTTTCTTATTATATACGTCGCTTTAGACATCGTGAATCTTTTTTCTTAACAGTGAGCAGTTCTAGGAAAACAAAAATCCGCTGCAGGAGATCGACCAATAAGGTAACAGTGGTTTTACAGTACGTTTAGCAGGGAGTTAAACTCGTCTACCTCTTCTTCTTCGACCTGGCACAGCAATCAAAAAGTTCACATGAGCAAGAACCAAACATAGTACTGCCAAGATTTCAAGCCATTCATCTTTATTGATCTACAATCAAAAGAGGAAAAGACATCAAAAAGCAGTCACAAAGTATCTTAAACACGAATTTATCTAGAAAATAAGTTATGTTGCAACGAAGTTGACAATAAACGAGACGAAAAATGTTCATATTCATTAAATTTTTACGACATGAATTGTTAGTAACAAATTCATGCATTCATGCATTCACAACAATGTTGCTCAAATATACAATACTTAAAATTGCAAAAGGACGAATGTATAAAAATAAAGTGATAATGAGCCACGTGGACTACTAGAGTGAGATCATTTCAGTGGTACTGACAAGATTAAAGTATCTTACTTTAATTCACCTAGATTATCACTTTTAAAAATATTCTTGCTTTGCAATGGGAAACGTCAGAGAACTTTGGAAACTGACCAAAAAGGACGTTTCCTTTCATACTATAATTACCGTTTATAAAATCAGAATAACACAACGCCTGCGTTGATTGGTCTATAGCTGAGTTTCCTTTAGCTTGTCCAAGATATATTGACGCAAAAAATTCATTTAAAGATGTTTTGTCTGACCTTTTTTTTAAATCTTCTTCAAAGTACCAATTTTGACCATGTTAATTACTTGGCGCAAGTGAGCAAACTAATTAACATATATGCTTAATAGAGACAATGAGACAATTTAGCGATTTGTTTCTCAAGCTGAGAGTCAAACACGATAATATTTTGGTTTTAATACAGAAACTTGTGACAGAGGCGAAAAAGTTATTTATTGACGATGAAGAATTATTTTATTATGTCGATGTTGTTCGTAAGGAAACACCCTCTCATCAATGATAAAAAATATAAAATTACTCTCTTACTATATCAATGCCCTTATCATCCTCTTCACTATCATCGCTTTGATTAATTTGAATTTTGAAAATAATTTTCCATTTCATTGTTGCTGTCCAAATATAATGTAATAAGAAAAGCCACATAGATATTATGGCATTCAAGATTTTATGTCAACAAATCAAAATGATGATGCAGTTTGCTGGGCATTTTGGTTTCCTCTATTAATGTCAAGGTTGTTATAAAAACATTCTCCAGTTCCGACAACTGATCAGTGATATTGTCATCCAAGACGTATTGCCATCAAAGACTTCTTTTTCATAAATTAACATGATCTGTATGCAAAACGCAAGCCCTGATTGGTTAATACCCGTATTTGGAAAAAGCTATCAAAAACCGGAAATTTAGATTGCTGTCGCGAGCATTTTGAATAAGTCTGAGAATGACGACGATATGTTTGCCCGATTGATTTAGATTGCATTTCTTACAGTTGAAGTGTGAATTTAAATCATCACTGGTAATTTTGATACACCTTTTACAGTCACTAAACCTTGATGTGATTTTACGTTGTGATGTTTTTGACATCTTTGATTTCTAAACTTTATAGCTTCAGTCACTCTGGAGAATTTAGCAACAATATTTGGAGAAATTTTTGAAAATTACCTGCCCCTCCAATACACTTCTGTAAAAAATCTCGTGGAAACTAACAACACAAAGTCTCGTATGTTTAAAGAATATAAAGTATCACAATCCGCGACAATAGTCCCTAAGTAATCAAGCATACTTCCCGTTTTCAAACCTGTACTTTAATGAAATTTTACATTTTTCGACAACTCAAACTTTCATGTTTCCATACAAAAAGAGCACAACTCTGCAATCTTGTTGTTTTTATAAAGCCCTTGGTAAGTAACGACATGAGCTTCGTACGTCCTCACTTTGTAGGTCTTACTCTATTGCATAGAGTAAACTTTTGTATAGAAAAAAAATACATGGTCGTTTTACACATGGATCAAATTTTCGTTTTAGATGTTCATGTACGCTCAGATAATGTCTACCGGATGATTGAAAGAACAATTTTAAAGTCAATTACTTACGAAATGGAAAAATTACGGACTTAAGTAAACATGTCATGAAAACGACCGGCCCGTAATAGCTAAAACAAAACATATATTATACTAATATAGCAACAATCAAAGTGCTATAATATGGGGAATAATTATGAAGAGCCATGCAGTACAATCTTGTGCCCAAGCTTTTTAGTTTAATTGACGCTCCTATCGCACTGAAGCTAAGAGGCAGGAACTTCAAAGTAAAGAGAGAGAACCCAGTGGAAAATTACGGTAATTACACGAGCAAGAATCTCGAATGAAAAGAACTTAAGCTCGTATGAGGCAAAAGATATTTATTTTCGTAAAATGCACATTACAGCACTCACTTAAAGGTGTGTTTTGCTGGCAATTTTTTCTGCTAAACGGTGGTTGACGTGAAGTGATCTTGCACAGCACAAATTTATCAATATTTTATAAGCTACAGAATTTACTATCCTAGTGGTAGTCAATATTAAGCATTAAGCAATTTTGACTCAAAAGAAATTAGGTATTTTCTTTATTGTAATGTTCTTCATTTGCTTAAGAGTCCTAATAATAATTGGGCCTACCACATAAGTGCTCAGACTCATGCAAACTTCTCAGTCTAAGAGTATTTAGTTTATTCGTCTGGCAAAGTTTACTTGAATGAGTGTCATTTGTGTTTAAAATTATCAATTTCCTCACCAATGTCAGTCGTGTGTACACGTAATTGCGACAAGTGCTTTCAGTTATGAATGATACATTAGGTGATTTTTTTTTGTCATTGCATTATGGTGGACTAGGAAACCAAAAAGGCTTTGTCATAGAGGCTATAATCATTTCATAATGATTATAAACTAATATGCAAATTCACGCTGCAATGACACACGATATATAAGCTGTGCGGAAGGTGCCAGTCTCCCAATACTGAAAAGCTTTCCTTTACTGCCAGTTTACATTTATGTGAAGAGCTTGTAGGATACTGCCCATGATTTAGAACCCAATCCTCCAGATGTCTAATTACCGTCTTGAAAGGTGGCATAAAGCAAAACTCAAAATAATAATTAAGCTACTTAAGGCTTAAAAATCCAATCTTAGAGGCCAGGCAAGCTCCATATTGGGGGGGGGCAATTATTTATATATTCGTATGTTTTAATCTTGTTAATTCATAACCACAATTGATTTTAATGGTAGTTACTAGAAAGAACATGCATACATGAATATTTGCCCTCCTCCCCAATTATCAAGCTATAGACCTGAGAAAGACTGTTGTCGTTGCTGTTGAATGACATTTTGACAACCTTAGCGATAATCATCTTCAGAGTCAAATGAGGAGTAAACGACAGGTTAGCCGTATGTGTTATCTGGTTCTTACGTCTTTGTGCTGTGTGTACAGGAGATGTTTTGGCGTCAATCGTGTATTGTAATCGTGGATTAGTGTAAACTGTAAAGTGTAATGCGTTTGTTGCATTGTGAATAAGTCGTTTGTAAGGTGCCAGTAATTGCTGTGATCTGTTTAGAGGTTTTTGTTCGAAGTTGGTATACCAACTTTCTAACGTAAGTCGTCGTCTATAGTTAGTGCTGTAAGTAATGCATTTTGTCGAGTCCCAGTTAATGTTGTGGTTTGCATTCGGTGACGTTCGGCAATGAGATTGGTTTTGTCTTGTTTCTTTATAACTCGTTTGTGTTCAGTAAGTCTTCCCCGATATAGGAGGCGTGGCAGTCGGAGCAGTTTATTTTGTAAACTGGACCTTGTCGTCTTCTTCCATTCTCTAAAGTTTTCTGGCGAATAATGATTGAATGTAGACCTGAACTTTTTATTGAGCACGAAATGACGAACGAATATGTTAAAATTTACATAGTTTCAATTCACCGTTGGTACTTTGTATTTACCAATTCAACTAGAAGTATATTCGCTTTTGTGTCTTTGGATCAGGCAGGTCATACTTAACTCCATTGAACTCAACCTTAATTAACCATTTGGGAGGGGTAAAGTGGGCCTTTGTATCACCATTCTATCTTTTTGCGTATTTCAATTTCACGATCTACATCTATAAACGTGTAACGATACTTCAGGGTTCAAACCATTTACTTTAATAGGAAATAACATTACAAAAAATGTCGTTTCCCGTTTATATTTCTCTGTCAAAAGTACTTTACGTATGTTCTTTGTTGATTTGTTTGATTTTTTTCATCGAATTTGCGAAAACTGAAACGCGATGAAAGAACAAGTACACTTAATGACGTAAAAGGAAAGATCGCGAGTCGTGTTTTGCAATAATTACCGTTACTATTAATAAATGCAAAAATAACTAATTCTAACACATAAGACCAGCACAGCAGTTAGTTGTAAAAGAAATGAAACTTAAAACAGAAGAATGTCGAATAGTCGCGAAGCAAAAGAGGAGTGAAATAAAATAAAATCATGAACAAGCCCTGCTACATTCATCATATCTTATTGAAAGCAATTGTTGCATATCATTAACCGCCGCCATAGTTGTTGTTTGGGATGAAAACCCGCATGTAATTCCCCCTTTTTCTAATATTCTAGCTAAAATTTATTTGCACTAGGCTAACGATATTATGTAATAACCTAATATTCTACAACAGAATTAGCGCGGACGCTTTTCCCTAGGACTTAGCGGTCTGTCATTTGTGATTTAATAGAGAGCAAGAACAGAAATAGCAGGAGACCAATAAAATGCATAAATATGTGAAAAAAAATATTATAATTGTGAGCAGTAACAGTTACTTTGAATCTTTTTATTAAGAACTGCCACAAAATAATCTGTTATTATATTTAGTCCATTAGTACACACACACACGCAGCAAAAACATTTCTTTGTGATGTTAAATGAGAAAATATTTAAGTATGAAAATTCGTTTTTACCGGATTTAGATTCAGCCCTCTGAAGTGATACTTGCAAAACACCCAAAAGGGCCATGATGAGATGCAAATATTTTCTACCCATGCCAATCATTAGAAGTGACATGTTTTTTTAATGCTTGCCTTGTAATCTTTTTGATAACTCACATCATATTTTTTTCTTGAAATCTTAAGGAAACTCCATGGTTTTGTTGAATTTGAAATACACAAAATGTTAGAGTGATGATACAAAGGCCCACTTTACCCTTCCCAAATGGTTAATTAAGGTTGAGTTCAATAGAGTTAAGTATGACCTGTCTGATCCAAAGGAACAAATCGAATATAATTCTAATTGAATTGGCACACATACAAAGTAGCTACGGTGAATTAAAACTATGTAAATTTATAACATATTCGTTCATCGTGTAGTACTCAATAAAAAGGCCAAGTCTTAATTCGATCTTCATTCGTCAGCAAACTGTAGAGAAGGAAAGAAGACAGGCTCAGGCGATTCACTATGAAGATTACTTATTTTGTTTTTGCTCTTGGTTTGCTTTGTACCGTTGCTTATGCAGCCACAATTAACGACGAAGGAAAGCTCAATGAAGGGATTTTGAACGGTATTATGAACTTTTTCCAACATATTTATTTAGAAGACTTGAAGCTCATTTGTTCCATGCTTTATCCATCATAAAACGATTCTTTTCACCAGCTTATAATTAAGATTGAAAACAAGGGTTGTTTCGTTTAGAATTTGACGAGGAAACTTCGCCAGAGGAAAGCATAGGGAAGGAACTACAAGAAAATGATGATGAAAATCACCAGTTGGACGATGAGTGAGTAAGCTTTGTCTACCATAGTTTGAATTGGTACTAAGGTGTCTTCTTGTGTTGCGAAGAGACCTGTTATAAGAAAGCTTCGTTTTGTAAATTCTTAAGGGCACACTCTTCAAAATGAACACCATAACAGAATCTTAAAATTGCTTGCGAAAAAGAACAACCTTATTTACTTGATAGAAAATGTAAACTTACAAAAAATATCTACACATGAAACCACCATGCAGGGAGAAGCTACAATTGTCGAAGATAAACTTATTAAGCTCATCTTTTGAGTTCTCGCTATTTATTAATAAACGCACAGTAAATAACTTACTAATCTGAAGGGAAAACCTGCTTTAAAATATTACCAACTTTCTAGGTGCAGACTGCTCAATCAGAGCTGTCGTGAACCTTTCTGTAATTGCCAAGTGCCACTACTTAGATTTCATATTACTTGACTGTACGTGGGTGATCCGATCATAGAAAGTGAGAAACTTTATTTTCAATATTTCTCACAGTTGTAACGACTTTTGACAGTTGTAATTGTCATTTCGAGTGAAAAGTTTTCTCAACAAAATTTTCTAAAAATATTGCCAATAGCTTGTCTTTTGAAAGTAATTTTCTGGCTTTTATGAGATGCCGATGGTTTCAATCAACCAATCGATCAACAATGCTAGCATTGATTCATATATATACGGCACTAAATTCTATTTCTATTTTTTGACCAATGTGTAGGCGGCGTTGTTTTGTTGTGATTTTATCAAGTAATATATCGTTTCGGACAATAATCACCCTAATTTAAATAATGAAAACCTTGAATGCAAATCGCTTATTGTTAGTGATAGGAAGTATTTCAATATATTTCTGCTATCACATATTTAAACACGTATCATGTGTCAATATTCTTTATCATTTTGACGTTAAGTAAGAGCACTCGAATATTTTGTGAAACAATCTAACAACAAGAAATAAATTACGTTTCTCCCTTTCATTAAATTCACCAGCCGAGTACTGTGCCCAGAATGACCAAACAACAGACTATGCAAATAAATACTGAAGTGGACCAAATACAAGCACAGTACATTGTATTAAGTACAAGTGTCTCGTGTTGTTTGCCCAAAATAATGTTATTGAACGCCTGCAAAGGCTTCCTGTTCCTGTAGCGAGTAATTTACATTATATCTATATTACATTGATCATACATTCCCAATATCGTTTGTGCAAGAATTTGCAGCCAGAAGTAGAAAGCTATAATAAGATGCGCCGCCATATTGAACAGTCACTCGCGTAAAAATAATCTATAGTAAAGAAACAAGATAGCAAGCAGTTTTGGAGCGCATTTACTTAAACACCCTAAAAATTCTTTCAGCGTGAAGCTAGAAGCATTTTCTTGCGATACTATCAGTCAAATTGTGTCACGAAAATTTTAGAATAAATCCTTTCCAAATAGTACAAGTGCTTCCTACACAATCTTGTAAAATCTAATACGTAGCAGTTTTGTCAATGCATCATAAGAGACGCTTCTCGCAATTTTTCCGAGCAGAAGTTGATATAATTTGTATGTCAAACTCGTGAATTGGGACTGTTCAATATGGCCACTTTCTGGCTTCCAAATTGAATTAGTGATACGCAATGGTAATATACATGTCAATGGTAATTTACGTTCGACCACTAAAGAGAAACGAATGCTTCAAATATTACAACTTACATATACAATGGCGTAACTAGGGTAAGTCGAAATAAATTACTGCAGCACATTATGGAATATATTCACATTTCTAAGCCTTTTACAGACAGTTTCATTGGTAAAGTTACATCCTTTAGAAGCTCAAAACAATAGTGTTTCTCAGAAAGCAATTTAAATTTTAAATTGAGCAGCTACAACTATAATTGATTTTGAGAAACGCTGGATGCTCGAATGATGTTACGCCACTGAGCAAGTTTTGATGCTTTTCACGTCAGCCATGTCGGAGGTCTGATACAAAGAATATTTTTCAGTAATAAATACAAAAAGATTGGCCGCATGCCTGGGATTAGAATTTAATGTTTGATAAATCCGAAAAGATTAGGTGCAAATCAAAAATTTCATTGTATTTACTGCTTAGACATGCATAATACGTCAATGTTTATAATGATTAGGACTTTAAGTATTATAAACCACACCGGCTATGATTAGGATCATACGCGCAAACCACACGATTAAATTTATTAAATTACTTAAAGTAAATTGTTTAATAGCTATTTGCGACACCCAGCTCGGACAGAACGATGACATAAATGGATTCAGTTTAGAAAAGTTTTAGATCAATTATCTACATCACTTATACATATCTCGTGGTTACAAATGTAAGGCCTACAACATGAAAATTTCAATGAAAACGGGAGGAATATAATTAGAGCGATCTGAAGTTTTATTGCTTGCTGAGCCCAATCAAACGATCCGACTGATTTCAGAGCGGTATGAATTGAAAACTAAAATGAATGTCAACTCAAATTAATTAACATTTAGACCGGTTTATAATGAGACGAGGCATGAGCAGCACAAAGTACAAAAGCCAATATGGGAGAAAGCGTAAAAGAGCCTGCTAAAGAGGAGTTACGCAGATGAGGATTTTTTTAATTTCGTGGTGGTTCCAGGTAATCATTCAAACAATTCCGATTTTCAGCCTGGTTTAACATCGCTCCAATTTCATGTAAACAGCGCTAGGGCCTAACTTACGAATAAAAAGACATATCAATGAACTGATTTTAAAGTCCACAGTCATTTCAAGGGTTCTGTTCGATTAAAATATAACTTAGCGAAACTTTCATTTTACTACCTGTTTGATGAATTTACATCCGTAAACTTTATCAGGGCAAAAAAGTGCTACAAAAACTATTGTTAATATTATGTAGCAGTTTGCTCCATTAGCAAATAAACAAAAAGTTGACGGACGTCTAGCCACGTATACACAGTGTTCGCCCACATCAAAAATCATTAAAAATACTTTGCAGTACGTTACACTAATTAGTTAAGACGCAAAATTGACGGGCATTAAACATTGTTTTATGTAGAGACGTTGAGGAAGCTGCTCCAGATCTAGAAAAACGCTCACCTTATGGTTACCGTCGCCGTCGTTACTCCAGCCGTCGCCGTCGTTATTCCGGCCGTCGACGTCGTTACTCCGGTCGTCGCCGTCGTTATTCTGGTCGTCGCCGTCGTTATTCCGGTCGTCGCCGTCGTTATTCCGATATAGAACACGACTACCGTGGATAGAGAAACCCTGAATAAGAAACATTTTTCATGTAGTTTGTCGTCTAAAATGTAACTTGCATTCTTTAATGTTTCATGTAGGAAAAATAATAAATGTTTGCAAATGCAATGATCAAAAAATGCATGTAACCGATGAATGACTGATGGATCACAACATTTGTGTAGATATATAGTGACCTATTGAGCACGTTAACATGTTTGAAAAATAAGGCAGCTATTAGTAATGCGTTATTTACAAAATATTTTTTTACATGGCTAAGTTTTAGGTTTTTCGTTTGCGTTTGGAATCTATGCTTAATTTACATTATGCCTTGTGTGTTTGCAGGAGTGGAAAAATTTGCATGTATAGTGATTTCATATGATTAAGCTCATAAGTACGATGCGCTAGTGTAAATATTAGGGAGCACAACAGCTTTTCTGACATAAATTTTTGAGTCATTTGAAATAGATGACTCTGTTGAAACACAGCATGAGTATACAACAAAACTGCCTTTAATTGCCCAATGTCCTTTTCGTTATCGAGACAATTACCTCTGTTCCAGGTTTTTTACGTGCATTGGGTGATACGACTTGTGGTGGATTATAAAATGTTTTCAAATTGGTAATAATTATGTCGAGGATGGCATTCCCCCTGTAGGCTCCTTACAAGATAGTTGAGATTGAAACAATGGCACAGATGAAAAAGTCATCTATTAAAATATTCAACAAACAAATTCTAGCACTAGGGTATTTAGCAAGTGCCAAATCTGATTTAAAAGATAAATGCTCTATCATGATATTATTCTCGTTTGTGGTTGGATGGTATATAACAAGACAAAAAATGCCACTGGGGAGTTCCGCCACAAACTCATGTATTCGACTTGAAGGTTATAAAGTGTTTAAAATGGTATATCTGACTTTTTATAAATGCACAAATTCCTCTACATTTCATGGTTGCCTGTCTCGTCAAATTAATGAAAATCCATCAATTTCCAAGACCCAGTCATCAATTTGGTCAGACGACCAAGTTTCCGTGACAAATATACAGGAAATCTGATTAGATTTCAGAGCGACAGATAAATCTTCTATATCTCAGGAAGAAATGATCTTACACTGGATAAAATTATAATTGGAAGCTTTCTCCTCTGTTTTTTTTGCTTTTAGTTGGTTTAATTTTCAACAAATGATGTGGGTTATGGCGGAAGTCTATAAAGTCCGTTTGTGATTCAAGTTGTATCAAATACTAGGGAAGGAAGGAAGTCTGGTCGGAGTCTGGTAACGGTTTCTTTATAAATGTTTGTTTTTTGATGTTGCAATGGTATTAGCGGAACCTGGTTATGTGGTAAACTGTATCCAAATGCTCTAACAATTTCCATGAGCTCTGGGGGGAACAAAGACGATACGGCATTAGGTTATTTTGACCAGATAGATAGATAGATAGATAGATAGATAGATAGATAGATGGATTTAACGTATAATAATTCAATAATTGCAGTTTCGTCGACTGAATTACTATTGAATATACAAGTCTTTTTCACACCACGTCATTTAAATACAATAATTGTAAATAAATTTAGTTTAAAATATCTATAAATCATTTTATTTGCACAGTATGGAACAAAAGAATTGCCAAATCTAATTGTATGCATTATGGGAAGGTTATATTTTCTAGTTGATCTGAGGTTATTACCAACGTTTATAAGACCATCTTTTGGGACAACCTCAAAAACAGACGTATCATCTGCAAATTTCCTCAGTTTGTTATTCGGAGATTTTGTGATCGCTAATTCATTTATTATAGCTATAGGAATAATCATGGACTAAGTTTTGTTCCCTGTGGAATGCCATAGGGAACTTTTCGATCACTTGAGTACACAGAGTTCATTTTACTCTTTGAGATCGAACACCAAGAAAGTCGGCTATCAAATTTAGAACCGTCGTTATCATTTCGTATTTAGTGAGTTTATCAACAAGTACGTTGTGGTCGACTAAGTCAAAAGCTTTACGAAACTACTCCAACTGTTATCCCGTCCATAGAGTGCAGCTAGCCAAGTACGCGACAGTGAAATAAGTGAAAGGGTCGTGTTTCACACAGGAATAAACGCAAATTGCGCTGGGTCTAACTTCCTTAGTAGGTTTAATTTCAATTCATATTCTATAATGATGTTTTCTGCAATTTTTGACAACGTAGAAGTTAGGGATATTGGTCTCTGATCCTTATTAAAGTCAGTGATGTTTTTGGTTTTGGAATAGGTGGCACGTCCGCTATTTTCCATATATTTGGCATTGCATTCACGGAAAGATGTATTAAATATATCCGTTATTGGCGGTGCCAGAATGTGGAGTAGGTCTTTAGGAGCGAATTGGGTAAATCATCAGATCCGTTATGTTTAGATACGCTAATTGTGCGTAATAAACTCTCCAGAGGTATTTCTGAAACAAAAATTGGCACGTCGTTGTTTTTTGGTAACTTGAACTCATCTAATAAAGGAGGAAAATCTTTCATCACACTAACAAAGGCCTCATTAATCATATCCCACAAACCTTCATCACTTTCATCTGCGTCAAATGTAATCATAGATCTAAGTTCTAACCGTGTTGTTTGCTGACCACTCAGTTGTTTAATCTCTCGCTACCAGTTCTTATGCTTAGAATCTTGAAAGTTACTGACTTTTTTTTGATAGTATACTTTACAAAAACGTTTTCTTTCTTTCTTTATTTATTTTGTAGCATATTAAACAAGAGATTTTTATCTGAAGCAATGATTTTTGCCTTTGTACAATAAGCTGTTTCAAATGTTTAGTCATCCACGGACGATCATTTACATTTACTTTGATTGATTTTTCTGACATTATCGTCTTCAAGCTATAATTTATTATGTCCGTGACAAACATGAATTTGTCATCTGAAGATTGATGAGATGACAAAATATTTTCCAATGTAATCTTTGAAAAGAAACTTCTGAGACTTGCAGTATTGCTTAGTCTTTTGTCCCTTGCTTTCACAGTTGTGTCATGATGTCGAAGTTTTACACGTTTAGCAGGACTCATAGTAATTGAAACATGGTCTGATAAACCAAAAGATGGACTGCTTTCTCCGGTCTTATAAAAAATTTTAAGATTTGTAAAAATTTGATCGAGAGTTTTTCTTCCTCGAGCAGGGAAACTTATCATAGGTTTTAGATTAAAAATTTTAGCTGTTAATTTAAAATCAAGTCGGTTCAAAATCAAGTTTAAAATCACCAGCCAAAACTATGCCGCTGTTTGGATAACGTACTTCAATTATTTCATATTTGAAGTGCTCCTGCATTACTGTATTATTTACACACCTGGTGGATGATAAAGTACTCCTACAATAATATTTGAATATTTTGGAGGCAAACGTTTTGTCGTAATATTATTCCCAGTATTTCATATTCGTCATGATCAATTGAAGACAAAATTTTGTTTTCATTGGCGTTCTTTACATAAATACACACACTGCTATGCTGTTAATTTTTACGATCAAGCCTAAATAGCTGGTAACTAGAAATAGCAATTGAATCATTTGTGATTGTATTCTTTCACCAAGCTTCAGTAGGTAGGGCCACTTGTATGTCTTATTGTACATGCTAAACGCTATTTCATCAATTTGTGGGGTCATAGACATCGTATTCGAGAGTAATGATGCTGGAACCAATTGAAAATGATCAACGAATTTCCCTTTAGGGTATTTTATACTTTTTGTTTATTTAATAAGTGGAACAGATATTAAATTTTGACAGTTTATACAATTAGGGTGCTTAATGATTTTGCAATTATTGATTCTCACTGTAATTGGCATTTTTTCTTGTAGTACATGGGAGCAGTGGCGTAGCCCGCCAGCAAGTTTGGTCCTGCTATGTTAATTTTTCTGTGTTCACTCACTGTAAAAACAATTTATTTCTAAAGAAATGAGTTATAATAATGTTCTAAAATTTACATAACAGGACCAAAACTTGCTGCTGGCTACGCCACTGGATGGGAGGGATTCCTTTTAGTTGTTGTTGGTTTAGCTTTTGTTTGGCTATTTGTCATAAAGTGCACGTACTGGAGATATTCATTCCAGGACTGTCCCCTATTGACAATCAGTAGGATTTTTGATTTCGTAAAAGGGTAAGTTGGAAGAATCAATGGCCGTTCAATTGGGTTTTATATAGTGATTTTGAAATTAAACGACACTTACTGTTAGTCGAAGTTTGATTATAATTCTATTAGTCATTAGTGAGGAGTGAAGAAGTTGTAGGAGAGGGAGCAGTGCGCATAAACTAACCTGTAGTAAGAGTACGAATATCCATACAATGGTAGGAGTAGAGGAGAGGGGACTGGGAGACATATGACTTGGCCTAGAACTCCTCCTCTCCTCACTAATGAGTAATAGAATTATAATCAAACTTCGACTTAAGGTTTCATTTCCAATTCTATTACATCATTAACTTTAGTCGTTACGTAGCTGTAAGATATATCTTTTGTATCAAAGTTTTTTTGAAACAAGAGGAGAAGTTGAAGCCGCCCTTGTACTATGACTTGTATAAATAGATGCATGTGTCAATATCAGCATCTGTGATAAAACGTTGAACCCATTGTGAAATAGTTTCAGTGTATATAAGTCAGTGTGGCTTTATAAATCTGATAAAAGTTGTTTATTGTCACCATGTAGTGGGGCCGTACGTTTTAAATATTTTAAAACATGAGTGATTACACATAATCTTCCATCGGAAGAGTACGCTAAAAATGTTAATGGTTGTCGGTGAGTATCAGGTCTCGAATGTGTGAGTTTTTCTTTTACAACAAAAGTACCTCTGGAGTCTTCAATTACTATAATAACTGACTATATGATCAATACATAATTTATTAATCGCTT